GGAATGTTGGATGAACATTGTTGCAGTTGTGGGATGACTTTACATTAACAAAGACAATTCAAGTGAGAGGCCAGGTTGAGGTCAGGGATCAACATCAATAAGTGTTTTGGGTTGACAGGTAGAAACACATCCCAAAAATGGCTCACTCAATGGTGCATGTAAAGTTTAAATGCAAACATGTAAGTAAACAAAACAGGGGAGGCAGGAAAAGTGTGAATCAATCACTAAAGCTAAATATTTCCAATGTGATAGGAAAAAAACAAAAGCACTGAAGTTGTCCCACTACAGAGTTGAAATGCCATTTTTGCAAGAATGGTCACTTCCAAGCTGTGTGCCACAGCAGAGTGTGCACAAAGGCAAGTTTTTGAACGGCATTAAGAGGCATGAAATAGAAGATATCAACAATACAAGGGTCACAAGTTCTTCAGCAGGGGTATGTAGAGACAGAGTCACAGATATAAATAAACTGTGACAAGATGGTATACAGTTAAGCATAGAGAAAGGACTGGAACAAAAACAGACTTTGCTGGAAAAGCTCAGCAGGTCTGGCAGCATCTGTGAAGAAAAATCAGAGTTAATGTTTTGGGTCCAGTGACCCTTCATCAGATTGTTCTACAGAAAGAAAGTGACAGAGATATAATTTCCTCTCTCTCTCTCCTTTCCACTAGAATCATGTAGATTAAAATTGTAGACAAATAAACAGATGTACAAGTACTGCTTGTGATGAATTGAAGAAAACATTTCACTGTAAATCTCTACCAGAATGGAGTCAACGTTCATGAGTATAATTTGGGATTATTTTACATGATATATTTGTAACCTTGACGTAATCTGTGCTCCTTCAGTTATAAGTTCAGACAGAATGCTAGACACTGTTGTGCTAAACAAAACCTTTATTAAGATGGAAGGAAAACTCTGAAAAATGTTACTCAGATAATATCTACCAATACAGCCAGCATTTTGAACCTTGTATTCAACATGTGTAAATTCACACACAGCTTTAACATTTAATGACTTTGCTAACACACTTCACGAAAATCATTCCAGTGGTATATTGTAATGCATGGTTTTCTGCACACATGTAAAACATAGTTAACAACATAGTTAATGCATGCATTTAAAACAGTCTGAATCTTTTTGGATAAGTAACAAAATAATAATTGTTATAAACAATAAGTCTTAGAGGATGCAATGTAGGGATTTAATGCAATGATGCTGAGTAAACAGTGTGGTCCCAGCTTTAATTTGACCAGGTAATGTCACATTTCTGCAGTGCTTGTCATCTTTAAACATAATGTCATTGACCACTCCTATCAGTGGAGCTCACTTACCAAGTCAATCAGCTCCTAATGTGTGCATTAAAGTTGCCTTACTAAAGAGATGCCAAACTGTGGCCTCCTCTGCTTTATCAGGTGGGATATGAATGATCTAACTTTTCAAAGGAAAGCAGAGGAATGGATCCCACTGTAGCATCAGCCAATGTCATTAAAACTACCGCTCCTGTCAGCTTCCCAAGTGAGGGAGCAGGAGCTCTTAATTATTCCAATGCATGAGCAATAGTGCAATGTCTTCAGGAGGAGAAGGAGAGACAGAACTTTAGGGCTCCTCACATTCCACACCATCATTCTCCCCATCCAAACCCCCATCCCATTGCCACCAATATCAACACCTGCCCCCCACTTGTGCATGTATGGGAACTGATTACATTTGTAAAACGTATGTTTCATTATTCATATGTTGTCTTGTGTAATTAGTTATTCTGTAACATTGAAATTATTTCTGATCGTTAGATTTATTCCAGGATTTAGATTTCAAATCTCACCCTGTGTTCCTTGTACCCAGTGTCATCGGGTCAGAATTACTGTATATAGTTTGAAGTTATTTACATCCTATTATAATAGTCACACCGAATTTGGGCAGGTGGATTATTTACCTAATGTCCCAAAGAGATATCCCACATATGTGATTGGATGATTTCATCTGTGTCAAATTGTTTTTCTCTATTTGACCAGGATAGAGGCACCAGCAGATAGGAAAATCTATATTTGTAACTTTCATAATAGAATTGGCTTGTTACAGGAATTTACAGAATGCAGCAGCTTTCACAAGCTTCCCAGCAACATACCCAAATGATACTCCACTTCAATTGAATACACAGGGCATCAAACATTTAAAGACCAGTTTGGAGGGAGCTCCATCCAACAATAGCGGTGGACATACATCAGAACCTTGTGGATCCAGAGGTGTGCTCCTTACAGATTGCAGGGACAAGCAACAGTAAGCGAGTTTAAACTGTGTCAAGAAAGAAGCCAAGCAGCAATGCTGGTCTAAACCTACACAAGGGCCTCAGAAAGGTGAACCTCCCTGGAGCTGAAGGGCAGCTTGAAGAGTTTGAAGTGTGTATTTGTACGATTTCTACAGAGAGTAATGCCTGTCTGCTTCCTCTGCCAACCAACATGTTTAGGAAGCCACTCCACCCACAGCACAATACATGATATAGCACAGCATAGAAAGGGGATATTCGGCCCATTGTATCCATGCCAGAATATTTTCCTGGAACTATTTCCACGAAATCACTTGGATTAAATGTAATAATTTCACTTGGAGCCATCAAATCAGCCCTGGAAAGGCTGGTTTGAAAGTGGGACGACGTAAAGAAATGGAGTCAGTGAGTTCCCACTCCTCAATCCCGCTGAAAGTGGGTAACCTGGATAGTTCACTAAATAGGGAGAAACGAAGGGACACATGAGAGGGGCTGAGGAGGAGGCAACTGCCTGGCAGCTCTGGGATGGTGGTCTCTGCATGGGTAGCCACCGAAGCTGGAAGCTCTTTGGCCCTTTGAGAGTCCTTCAGGTCTGAAATCTTGTGGAGGAGGTTCCCCTGGCCACTCAGTGGGACCCTATTAGCTTCGCACCCCTTTAGTTTCAGAATGCTTCTGAGAATGGTGCGTCGGAGGCTGTGGGGTGACCTTATTGCGGGTGGTAAAATCATGGGCAGCATAGATACGGTGAATGGCCAAGGTCTTTTCTGCAGGGTAGGGGAGTCCAGATCTAGAGGGCATAGGTTTAAGGTGAGGGGGGAAAAGATTTAAAAGGGACCTGAGGGGCAACATTTTCACACAGAGGGAGTACATGGAACAAGCAGCCAGAGGAATTGGTGGAGGCCGGTACAATTACAACATTTAAAAGACATTTGGACAGGTACAAAAGATACCAAAGATTTAGAGGGATATGAGCCAAACACACGCAAGTGGGACTAGTTCTATTTAGGAAACCTGGTCAGCATGGACGAGTTGGGCCGAAGGACCTGTTTCCGTGCTGTGTGATTGCAATTGCATCAATTTCATTCATTGGATTTGACCCATTAGGACATTCAGGGAAGAGTGTCCTGCAGATGGCCCCATCCCCCTACCCCAGTAGACTCGGGACCTGAAAATGACCGAACTTGCGAAAATAACTCATTCCCAGAGCATACCCCACCCGTTTGAATTGCCTGCTCGTAGGCTGCCGTTACTAAACGGACACGCTTTTCTGATGAAGGGTCTAGGCCCGAAACGTCAGCCTCTCTGCTCCTATGATGCTGCTTGGCCTGCTGTGTTCATCCAGCCCTGCACCTTGTTGTCACGGAAGAAAGCCACATTAAAATATCAAAGACAACAAGGTGTAGAGCTGGATGAACACAGCAGGCCAAGCAGCATCATAGGAGCAGAGAGGCTGACGTTTCGGGCCTAGACCCTTCATCAGAAATATCAAGTTTGGAACAATAAACGCTGGGTCGCAGATCCCAAAAGCCTCTCCGCTCACTTTAGAAAGCTACAAATGCTTGCTGCGTTATTTACAGTTCAGCATGCACACTATCCTTACGAATTTACAATCACGGCGTTCCAGGGATTATACGTCGATCTACCGCAGTTGATTTTCCAAGTTTCCTGAAACAACTTATAAATGGGGCACTTCTTATAGTTAATCACAGGCCTGCCAGTCATTTGAATAGCGCAGTGGACTGGGTTCCGTCTCCTGGCGAACGCACATTCACGGTCAGTCGAGATAGCATTCTGTGCAAAGTGTGTATTGCTGCTAAAGACATTACCTGTGCTGCGACTTATTGGAATAAGACAGTGGACTGCTCGCGTTTTACCTACAATCACACTACAGTCCATCACGTCAGGGCGATTACAAATCTGAAAAATATTCCTGAAGATCATTTTTTGTTTTAGCGGCAATTAATCTCAACACAAAATTCAAATTGGTAACGACAGCAGTCACAGTGTGAGAACTGACAAACTGGAGCTGAATTGATCCCAGACACTGTATCCTGGTATAAACACACCGGAGGTCAGTCTTGCATCTACCGCACTTGCGTTCCAGACTGTGTCATAAACAGCAGTGTAGATCTGTACTGAAAGCAACAAATGCTGGAGATCACAGCGGATCAGGTGGCATCCATGGAGAGAGAGTAAGCTAACGTTTCGAGTCTGGGTGACTCTTCATCAGAGCCGAAGTTCTCAGTTCAGCAGAGATTTGATAGCACTGTTTTCGTTAGCGGTCCCGCCCTGTTTATGAGAAAGGCGGTCTGTGGGTACAGAATAGGCGACCCGTTGCTTGCTGATATTGACAATCCGCCGATATCGATCGCGCTGCTTCTTAGGCTGCGCTGTCAGAACCCGAGCAGACGGACAGTGTCCCCAGTCACTGAGCACCGCCCCTCGGCTGCTGCAAACTTATTGCTGTTTGTTAGATGTAATCACTTTTAAATTTAGAATCATTTGATCAACACCAGGCTCAGGTTTCGGGAGCAGCTAATGCAATAACAGCCCTCTCCCTCCCACCCACCTGCAGCATGAAGTTCCCATGATCGATTACTGGCACTTGGATGAAATTATGTTCTATTCAATCACTCCACTGGTCTGCTGCCTCCAGGTGACAGAATGTGGCGTGGTAGCAACCTTCTGTGCCCCAAGATACCCTTCACATTTATTGCAACGGTTTAAAATAAATGGCATGGTCGCCTCGCTGGTAACCCAGCTCTCTCTCTCTCTCTCTCTCTACCCCCTCGCAGCCTGTAATACACTGCAAGGCTGGCTGAAAATGAACAGGCGGCCCGTGAAATCAGAGAGGCGGCGGGTCAACTCGGAGGAGCAAACGGGCAAAGCCGAGCGGCGAGAGTTGAAGGCTTCCTCGCAGAGAGTGTCCACGGAGCTTCTCAGGCACAGGATTGTCAGGTAAGGGGCAGGCTGAGGCAGTGGGTTGACTAGGCGAGCGAGGAGTGAAATCAAAACTGGAAATTGCTGCACAGACTCGGCGACACCTGTGGAGAGAGAAGCATAGTCCGGTAAGGACTTCAGTTTTTGAAAGAAGAGTCCTGCTGAGTTTCTCCAACACTTTCTGTCTTTTATTTCCTATCGTCAGCATCTGCAGTACTTTGCTTTTATTTGTGAGAAGTGAGAATGTGCTAAATTCAGCTACTATCCCGCCCGCCCAGGCTCGTATCCAGCCTCATGAATGCAACTGTAGTCGCCTGTGGTGCATAACAAAGGACAAGCACTCACCCTACTCAATGCTAACCTTGCAGTATCCTTGCTGTCTGCTCCAGCTGTTCCACTTATTTGTACTATCTCCTGGAACAACAAGGCTGTTCCCTTCAGTGGTCTTAGATTTCCTCCGTCATGGTGAAAGAAAGGTAGGGAGAAAGATCTTGCACGTGTGTCGAATTATTAGATGTGGTGCATAACATGAGAGGGAACTGGGAGGTGCAGTTGTTTTGTGCGAACCGCCCAGTCACGAACCATTTCAACTCCCCCTTCCATTCCTCAGACATGTCCACCCTGGGCCTCCTGCAGTACCACAACGATGCCACCCGAAGGTTGCAGGAACAGCAACTCATATTTCGCTTGGGAACCCTGCAGCCCAATGGTATCAATGTGGACTTCACAAGCTTCAAAATCTCCCCTGCCCCTACCACATCCCAAAACCAGCCCAGCTTGTCCCCGCCTCCCTAACCTGTCCTTCCTCCCACCTATCCCCTCCTCCCACCCCAAGCCCCACCCCCATCTCCTAACCACTAACCTCATCCCGCCCCTTGACCTGTCCGTCCTCCCTGGACTGACCTATCGCCTCCCTAACTTCCCACCTACACTCACCTTTACTGGCTCCATCCCCGTCTCTTTGACCTGTCTGTCTCCTCTCCACCTATCTTCTCCTTTATCCATCTTCTATCCGCCTCCCCCTCTCTCCCTATTTATTTCAGAACCCCCTTCCCCTCCCCCATTTCTGATGAAGGGTCTCAACCCGAAACGTCAGCTTTCCTGCTTCTCTCATGCTGCTTGGCCTGCTGTGTTCATCCAGCTCTACACCTTGTTATCTCAGATTCTCCAGCATCTGCAGTTCCTGCTATCCCTGAGATAGATTTGTGTTATTCACGTCTACACCTTGCTATCTATTATTTTTTCTTCTTGTGTTTTGGGAACTAATAAACTCATTCTTTAACTCAGGAAAGACTAGATAAATTGGCTCCTCCTAAAACCTGGAAGCAGATATCCAAGAGGGAAGGGATTCTTTTTAAATTAATTGTTATGGTCGACCAAGGGAGGAGTTAAATAAAGAAGGGAACTTAGTTCATCTCTCCTTACTTGGGATCATAATGAATTGGACCTTCATGCTGGAACCAGTTGTTGACATTGTGGTTCTTGGAGGTTAATCATCTCAGCCCCAGGCCATCGCTGCAGGAGTTCTTCAAATTAGTATCCTAGACCTGACCATCTTCAGCTCCTTCATCAATAACCTCATTCCATCATAGGATTAGAAGCAGTAATGTTTGCTGATAATTGCACAATGTTTAGCACTGTTTGTCACTCCTCAGGTATGAAACAGTCTACATCTAAACACAGCGAGATCTGGACAATATTTAGACTTGGACTGATAAGCAACAAGTAATATTTACACTATATATATGTCAGGCAATGACCGTCTCTAACAAGAGAAAATCTAACCATTGCCCCTTGACATTCAATGGAAATACCATTGCTGAATCCCCTATTAAGATCCAGGGTTTTATCATTGACCAGAAACTGAATTGGACCAGTTATATAAATAATGTTTACAAGAGTAGGTACAAGGAATTCTGCAGCAATTAAACCATCACTGCCCAACCCCCCTCTCCCCTCCCCCTCTGACTGTCCCCTATCTAGATAGCACAAGAGAGGAGTTTGATGGAATACTGTCCATTTTCCTAGATGATTGCAGCTCCAAGAATGTTCATGAAACTTTAGCATCCAGAGTAAAGCAGTCCACTTGACTGACACCACTTACACCATCATCAACTTTTACTCCCTTTGTCACCACTGCACGGTGGCAGCAGTGTGTAACATCTGCAAGATACACTGCAGTAATTCATCAAGGCTCGTCCAATAGCACCTTCCAAACACATGATCTCTACCACCTAGAAAAACAATGGAAACAGATACATGGAAATATCACCACCTGCAAGTTCACCTCTAAGTCACAAGCTTCCTGACTTGAAACAATATCGCCATTCTTTCCTAGAACTCCCTTCCTAACAGCACTATGGATGTTGCTACACCCCATGGATTGCAGAAGATAGTTCACCACCACGTTCTCCAGTGTAATTAGGAATGAGCAATAAGTACTGGTCTAGTTAGTGACATCTTATTCCATGAAAAAACAACGATAAAGTCAGCCTATGGATTTTTTTGGTTCTTTCAGCAATATCTTCCTGAGAATGCTAATCAATTGAAATACATTTTGCAAGGGAATTATTTTCAAAAGGAAGTCTTTTGGAAACCAGCTAAAGAATCCAGTGGTAAAGAAGGGAAACTGTGGAGATTAAACAAGTGTATTTATGGGCTGAATAATGCATCAAGGATTAGTATTTCTCAGGTCCATCCTGCTGATAATGGATAGCATTCAGTTAAAGTAAACCTAATGATGTTTCACTGGTTTCACAAAGAGGAACTAGCAGGCATCTTTATAATGCACTTTGAGGATTTTCAGTGAGGAGATTCTGCAGAATTTAAATGATGCATGATAAATACAATAAGAAAGGAATTTCAGATTGGTAGTCAGGCTTTGGGGGCCATTAAATACATGGTGCAGAGCAAAATTCCGCAAAGCACTGTTAGAAAGAGGAACAATTGGTTATGCATAGCTTGAGGGTAATCAATCCACAAGTATAGGTGTGGCAAGGAGGACTCAGGGCCTCCATGAACTACCAGAGCTGTACAGGGGATGTATCCATGCTGATGGGTTTGTTCTGCATCACACTCTACTCAACTGAACTAACCAACGCCCACCTCCATCCCACCCTTTACATACAAAGATGTTGTGCAGAATAAGTTGGGAGTTAACTTGCATCAACAATCTTATTTAGAACACATAAAATGCATCCAAATAAATAAGGATATGGTTAAAGAGGTTCCAACAGCAAATAAAGCATGAAAGGAATTAAATCCAGGGAAATGTACAGTCATATTGTCAATCTCAAATGATCCTAAAGCTAGGCAGTTAGCCATTTTTCACAAGACAACCTTCCAGATAGATGTTCCAGTGCAACATATTCTTGCTGGGAAAGAATAAAACATGTTGCTTATTGGCCTGGGAAACAAGGAAAACAATAAAAGAGGTGTTTAAAAGCTTCTTACCCACTGAACATTGGCTATAGAAGAAGCAGTGGATAAAGGATATATTGTTTGATATACCGAAGGAAATGCTATTAAAGGGGCAATTTGACAAAAACTGCCCATTGAATGTTATGTGGATAATCATTCTCTATTCCATTCAACAAACGGTGTTGCATAGAAAAGGATGAGAATTGACCCTGCTGGTGTGAAGCTGGAAAGAAAAGAGATTTTTTAAAAACGGGTTTATTTGTCACCAACTGTCAGACAGTTTTCCAAAGAGGAATGTTTGCCCGAAGAAGTTATTAGATGTCCTTGGAAAGGGATGTCTACTGTAATGATAAGACCATGGAATATTGTGTACTAAGAATATGGATAACAAATGCTTCTTTAATGGGTTTATAATTATTTATACACGTAGTCGTTTAAAGATAGGGCAATAAAGGGTCTGTTAATGGTTGATTGTATTTTAATATCAGACAAGGATAAAAATGAATCTATTTCCTTTTGACTAATTTTGGGACATTTATCAAGTGCAAATTTAAAGAAAAGGTTAATCTTCCATGTCTGTCAATCACATTATTAATGTTTGTTGATGTAATTGTTAAAGTTGAGATAACCAGGTCCTTTATTCATTCATGGGATGAGGGCATCACTGGCTAGGCAGCATTTATTGCCCAGAGGGCAGTTCAGAGTCAACCACATTGCTGTGAGTCTGGAGTCACATGTAGGCCAGACCAGGTAAAGATGGCAGTTTCCTTCCCTAAAGGACATTAGTGAACCAGGTGGGTTTTTCCCAACAATCGACAATGGATTCATGGTCATCATTAGATTGTTCATTCCAGATATTTTATTGAATTCAAATTCCACCATCTGCCATGGTGGGATTTGAACCTGGGTCCCCAGGACATTACCTGGGTTTCTGGATTAACAATCCAATGATAATACCACTAGGCCATCACCTCCCCATACTCAGGTCTTTGAGTACGTATGAAAGAGTCACCTGGGATACTGGATGTTAGGCGAGAGCTGTAGGACTGAGCAAATTAATAAACTTTCTCAACAAAGAAAATTTGTGTCTTAGTCTCTATTAACCGGTGCAGACTCTTAACAGCCACTCCCCTATTCTAATGTGGATATTATTTCTAGACTAAAATGAGACCCAGTCACTATTTACATTTCCAATCACAGTTAAACCTAGTTGGCAAATTGTGCCAAGTTGCTGAGGAGGTGTCACAATCATGAAGTGATGTAATCACTAAATGAGATGGGTGCATTTCCAGCTATAGGCCACTTCTTTTCTGACCAATCAGAGCATGCATGAACTTTCAGAAAGTTCCGATGATTGTTTTAACACTGTTGACTCTGAGATCAAGTTGTGCAAAGAGAAGATTCAAGACTCTTACAACAGGTGATGATAATAATATGAATTATAACACAGTTAAGATTCCTACCAACAGGATAGAAATATCTAACCAACAAATCTACTGTGATAACATTTATCGTAATGTACTGGACTGTTGCAGTAGTCAGCTGGATCTACTTGGTTCTTATTATGATTATTGGGATAATTATATAAAATAATACAAATTGACTGCAACAGGACATAGACAGCCTAGTAGAGCACAGAATTTTGTACAGAAGTGTGAAAGGAGGCATCCTGACAGAAGGGCTTAGGAGTGGCAATACAGATTTAATAGCAGAGTCCTAAAGACTACAGGGACAGAAAGATCTCAAGGTCCATGTGCACAGATCCCTGAAAATGGCAGGATTTATTGAGAAACTAGTTAGCAATCTAAATGGGATTTAGGGTTTCATAAATATATATTTTGAGGACAAACACAGGGAATTTATATTTGTCCTTTATAAAATGCTGGTTAGACCATATTTGAGTATTGCATCCAGTTCTGCTTACCATACTTGAGGAGGGATGAGGTCATCATTAAGAGGATACAGAGATTTACTAGAATCTCTGTTGTACGGATGGAAGGATTTTAGTTAAAACGTTAGGTTTGGGAAGATGGGATTGTTCTACTTGGCTCAAAAACATTGAGAGAATACTCAGTAGAGGTGTACAGGATTACGATGATTTTCAATAAGCTAGAGAAAGAAAATCTTTTTTATTTGCTGAATGTACAAGGACTGAGGGATACATATTTAAGGTTTTAGCCAGAGATGCTTGGGGACATGTGAGAATGAACATTTTTACACAGTAAAATAGAACAACCTGGTTTCTTTGCTACCTGCAGAGATGGTAGAAGTCGATCTAATGAATAATTTCAAAAGAAAACTGATTGGGCACTGGAGATAAATGATCTAGGAAGGTTACAGGATCAGGTCAGGAAATGGTACTAATAGATTGCTCAACAGCAAACCAGTATGGACTTGACGAGCTAAATACCTTCCCTCTGTGCTGTACTCTAAACTTCTATTTCTTAAATTGTTCTTGAACCTTTAAATTTCCCTTACTACTGGTGATAGCAAAAAAGGTGTGTTCCCCACACCTACCAATTTGACAATATGGAATGGGCTGGTCCTTGTAATCTGGCTTCTGGTGACCCTTTGCCATTCTGGATGGATAAGCATCAATTCTTAAGCATAGATTTTTGTTCAGAATGTATGACAGAGAATTTTGTGCACTTTGAAGTCTGCAGATATTTTTGATTCAACTTTTCAGATTGGAGAAGAGGATAGAGGAATTGAAAGCTGAATATCAGAAACTCGATCAGAATGCAAAAGAACTCATTCAATCATTTGAACCAGACTGCGAAAGCATTGCAAAGGAAGCCGATGAAGATGAGCTCTGGTCATCACTCTTGGAAGACAGGTGATGTGCAGATAGAAGAAACTATGCAAGGACAGTATGCAGGGGCATTTAAGGTAGAATCCACACCTTAAATTCTGCTCCATTTGGACTGAATTTGAAATTCAGCTTGGGAGGATGGGGAGTTTGTAGATGGGAATTGTATCCATCCACTAGGAATTGCATAGGGCTCAGAGACTGACATTTTAAAAAGCAGCTAACAAAGCGTAGTTTCACTGCTGTCAGGCTGAGAAATTGTCCAAGGGTTCTGGATATTGGATTCCAATGAAATAAAAAGCAGTGAAATTTCTTAATTGACATGGAAGGTCTAATATCTTCAGATGCAGCTGTACAGGTATCAGTGATTTAGAACAAAATCACAGCCTGAAACTAAAGAAGAAGACGATGGCCTTTGGTCTTTGAGCCTGATCAGCTAAGTGTTTGATTTTAATACTTATAAAACTGCTAAATCTTATTTTTTTTTGTAAATCTATAATAGCAAGTAAGGTGAGGACATTTTTTTTCCTTATGTTTATACTGTGATCTCTCTCTTGATTGGTTTTTAATATTAAGGATTCGAATTACATCATCACAGTGCAGTGTTTTTGATCAGTATGACACTGCTAATGCTGCGTTTTTGAACTGTGTGTTGGTTTTTAGTTAATTTCTGGGTCTGTAGATTGTTAAAGGGGCAGAAATGTCTTTTAGTAGGGTGATGTGCTCTGTCAGATGTGGGAGATTGGGCAGAATTTGAATGTTACTGGAGACTATGTGTGTGGGAAGTGTGTTTGGTTGTGAATTCTATCAGACTGCATTGATCAGTTGGAGTGGCAGTTACAGGTAATGAGTTTGCAAGAGCAAGGTGCTGTGATATGGCAGTTTTAGGAAGGTAGAAAAGCTGCAGATTCAGTCAGGTAGACTGCTAGGAATGGTAGGAGAAGTAGCCAAGTACTGCGGGAGTCTCCTGTGGTTATCCACATCTCAAACAGGTATGCCATTTTGGATACCGTAGGGGATAATAGCACTGACAGCCATGTTTCCGGTACCTTGACTGGCTCAACTGTAATGAGGGGTACATCAGGTTCCCAGCAATCAATTGTAATAGGGGAAACTCTAGTCTGGGGCACAGACAGCCATGTCTGTGGCCGTCAGCGAGACATCAGGATGGTATGTTGCCTCCCTGGTGCCAGAGTCAAGGATGTCTCAGAGAGGGTGCAGAATATTCTCAAAGGCGAGAGAGAAACCAGCAGGAGGTCGTTGTACACATTGGAACCAACGACTCGGATAAAGAAAGGGATGAGTTTCGGCAAACAGATGTAGGAAACTGGGCAGGATGTTAAAGGTAGCTCCTCAAGAGTAGTAACATCTGGACTACTCCAGTGCCACGTGCTAGTGAGAGTCAGAATGGGAGGATAGAATGGATGAATGTGTGGCTGAGGAACTAGTGCAGGGGAGAAGGATGCACATTTTTGGACCATTGGCCTCTCTTGAGGGAAAGAAATGATCTGTATACGAGGGACAGGTTCCACTTGAATTGGAAGGGGACTAATATCCTTGTGGAGAAATTTGCTAGTGTTACTTGGGAGGCTTGAAACTAGTAAGAGAGGGTGGGAACCAAAGAAATAATGAGAAAAAAGAAAAGGATGAGACTGGTACAATAAGTAAGGGGAGCAATACAAATAGTCAAGGCAAACAAGAGCTTGGCAGAGAATGAGGTAAGACATAAATTAAACTGCATTTAGTTCAATGCAAGAGGCCTGACAGGTAAGTCAAATGAACTTGGGGCATGTTGGGAACGTGGGACTGGGATATCATAGCTATTACAGAAACGTGGCTCATGGATGGACAGGACTGGCAGCTTAATGTTCTGGGATATAGATGCTATAGGAAGGATAGAAAGGGAGGCAAGAGAGGAGGCAGAGTGGCATTTTTGTTAGGAATAACATTACGACTGTACATGGGAGGATATTCCTGGGAGATCATCCAGTAAAGTTATATGGGTAGAACTGAAAAATAAAAAAAAAGGGATGAACTCCTTGTTGGGATTGTATTATAGCCCCTCTCCCCACCACCTCCACCCCCAACCCTCCCAACAGTCAGCGAGAAATTGTGAGGCAAATATCTAAGGGGATCTCAGATATCTGTAAGAATAATTGGGTTGTAATGATGGGGGATTTTAACTTTCCAAATGCAGACTGGGATGTCATAGTGTTAAGGGCTTGGAAGAGGAGGACTGTGTTAAGTGTGAACAAGAAAGCTTTCTTATTCAATATGTGGATGTACCTACTAAAGAAGGACCAATATTTGATATTCTGTTGGGAACTAAGGCAGGGCAAGTTACGGAGGTGTCAGTGGAGTAGCATTTTGGGGCATGTGATGATAATTCAATTAGTTTTAAAATTGTTATGGAACATGATAGAACTGATAAAAAAAAAGCTAAAGTTATAAATTGGAGAAAGGCCAATTTTGACAATATTAGACAGAACATTCAAAAGTTGACTGGGGAGGCAATTTGCAGGTAAAGGGACAGTTGGGAAGTGGGAGACCTTTAAAAATGAGCTAACGAGAGTTCAGAAACAGTATGTTCCTGTTAGTGTGAAGGGAAAGGCTGGTAAGTGTAGGGAATGCTGGATAACTAGAGAAATTGAGGCTCTGGTGAAGAAAAAGGAGCTATATATCAGGTACAGACAGCTGGGATTGAGTGAATCCTTACAGGAGTATAAGGGCAGCAGGAGTGTACTTAAGAGGGAAAGCAGGACGGCATGAAAGGGGACATGAGATAGCTTTGGCAGAGTTAATTAGAATCTAAAGAGATTCTTATAAGTAAATGAAGGACAAAACAGTAACTAGGGAGAGAATGAGTGCAATACTAAATGAATATTTCACATCAGTATTTACTGTGGAGAAGGACATGGAAGCTAGAGAACTTGCGGAAATAAATAATGATGTGTTGAAAAGAGTTCATATCACAGAAAAGGACGTGCTGGCAGACTTAAAACATATAAAGGTTGATAAATCCCCAGGACTGGATCAGGTGTTCCCAGAACTACATGGGAAGTTAGGGAAGAGATTGCTGGGCCCCTTGCTGAGATATTTGTATCATCGATAGCCACAGGTGACATACCAGAAGACCGAAGGGTGGCTGGTGTGGTGGCATTGTTTAAGAAAGGCTGTAAGAAAAAGCCAGGGAACTATAGACAGGTGAGCCTTAGATCAGTGGTGGGTAAATTGTTGGAGGGGATTCTGAGGGGCAGAATTTACACGCATTTGGAAAGGCAAGGACTGATTAGGGATAGTCCAAAACTAGAGGGCATAGGTTTAAGGTGAGAGGGGAAAAGTTTTAAAAAGGACCTGAGGGGTAAATTTTTCACAGAGAGGGTGGTGCACGTATGGAATGAGCTGCCAGGAGAAGTGGTGGAGGTGGCTACAATTACAATATTTAAAAGGCTGGGTATACGAATAGGAAGGGTTTAGAGGGATATGGACTGATTGCTAGCAAATCGTACTAGGTCAGATTGGGACGTCTGGTTGGTGCAGATGAGAAAGACGGATAGGTCTGTTTCCGTGCTGAATGATTCTATGACACTATGGTAAGGAGCCAGACTGGGGAAAAATTTTCAAGGTTCGTAGAAAGTTCTTCCCTTTGCGCCAGTGAAAGCATCAGCAGAACAAACACTGAGATCTGGTGTAATCTCTTTTGAAGATTAATAACCAATGCCATTTTTTATTAAAGGATTCGGATCAGGTAGAAACCTCAACCAAGGATGTGGACCAGAATCTCTGGTTCATGGTCCTCCATATCCAGGCTGAACAAGGTCAGAGGTTTCAGGCCTAAACACTTTGTTCCTCAGTAGGCTGTGTAGGTCACAATGTAAACCCTATAGTTGTATGTTGTAGTACATACATTATCAGGATACCACCTATCTATTCATAGTGTATATGATATATATTGTGTGTGTATATATATATATATAACTAAGGTCACAAATTCTGAATTAGAAGATACAGGTCCCAATTTCACTTAAATTGAGATTGGATTATGGGATTCTGCTTAGTTTCAACTGATTCTTTGATGTAACATTTGTATTTGTTTGGGAGTTTTTGGATTCCTTCTTTGTATTCTTAAAGTCTGAACAGGACTGATGCTAGTGCACAAATTGACTTGAGGCTTTCTGAGGCACCAGTCCTAAACTAGGCTGAAATAATTGATTTCATGGAAATTCTCTCATCCTAAATGTTGCACTGTATATATAATGAACACATATAAGATATATAAATAAAATTGGGAAGTTTGACCCTCAGTTACTTTAGTTAGAACAGCAAAACGTCATTGCACCTTAGAAAAGTGTTCAGATCATGTTAGAATACAAATCACTGTGTAAATAGGTAATACTCATGATCCCAACTTTAAGGAAATGCAATAAGAATTAGAGCATGGTGTATGGGAAGTAAGCGATCAATTATTTCACCAGTGGAAAGTTTCTGAATCTATGTGTACCAATTCAGTATGTCAATTCTTCATTAACGTGTGATTGTCAGAAAAATTCATTGGCTGTAGGATGCTATAAGATTTAAAAAAGCTGTTTACTTTCCCAATTTTTAGAATTATTGTCACTGTTTGGCACCACATATGAATTCCAGTCCATTCCTAAGAAAATCACAGGCTCTCGACACATAAATTAAGATTTAGGAGCACATACATAACTACAAGCAAGCAAATGTACCCATTATATTGTAAATTAAGATAGCATTTGGATCATTTGACCAATCCATATCAAATCTTAGTCATAAGTATCCCCAACGTAATCACTGTAATCTATATTTATGCTTTTAAAATGGCAGTCCTATTTTTGGGATGTTATTCTTTTGTCTGAATATAACATGCCCTTCCTGCCCAGACCCTGCTGTACGTTACATGACAGTTTTTTTGGTGTGAAACTGTTAATTTCTTGAGGGCCAGTCCTTATAAATGGCAGTTATTCCAGTTCAAGGTTGTTGCATCCTGCTTTCCACTCAAGCCCCTAATTTTAAGTCCTTTTTCATCAGGCTAAAGTTTCTCTGTGCAGGACAATATTTTAACCCATTTACTGTCAAAATTATGTGATGCGTTCCATCTAAGTAATGCATCCCGATTATCAATAGGTAGTATTAGCCAATGGTGCATTTAATTTGATCTGTACCAGTTGCCTTTAACTTGGTTGTCATTTTTATTTTATATCCTGTGACCTTTAGTTTACTGACCTTTTGAAAATTAGAATTAGAATTAACTTTATTGTCACATGTACTCACATGAATACAGTGAAAAGTTTACAAGTTGCCACTTACGGCCTCATCTCAGGTACAAAGGTATCTAGGTATAGATTCTTAAGTACAAATTCTTAGGGAAAAGAAAGGAAAATAATGAAATAAATAGAAATAATCTGACAAGTTTAAACAGTTTCTCTTTGTTTACTCTATCAAAATACTATTATTTTTAACGTCTTTTTAAAGTTATGCCTCAACTTTTGCTGCTCCAAGGAAAACAATCATGACCACTTGAGTCCAAGTGAAGCAAGTCACATAACTCGCATAAAGGAAATTCCTTTATAGTACAATTCTGGTAAATCTCCTCGGCTAGGCTGCATAGCTATTGACTCAAGTGGTCCAGATTTTTGGGGCTTTTAACAGCTGCTTTTCGAGCACGAATGTCTTATGCAGCTATTTCCAATATGGTGGGAAATGTGGAAGGACCCTCCAGCTGCATATGCAGAATCTTTATTCACAGCATTATGAGCATTGGAGTAACTGTCAGCATTCTGCCATACGAACTGGCAGACATATCGGCACATCTTGAACATCTGATGCAGCAATGTACAGCCTGAAAGATCCTGTGACATTATAGTTAAGGGCCAGAGTGTTCTATCAAGAAGGCTGAACCTTTATGTGAAACTTGAGCTTCAGTTGAAGATGGTGACATAACTTTCTCATGGCTCCTTTGTAGAGCGAAGACATTCAGATATTGCTCCTTAAAGAAGGTCAGGCAGGAGGAATGGTCCCTGAAGAGTCACTGTAGATATAGCCATCACGTAGTGCCCTTCTTCTGCTCCTTTTTTGTAGCAGCTACTTATGCTCTGTGCTATCCTCTCTCCTGCTGCTCTCCCTTGCCTACTGGCCCCAAAGAAATTTGAAACTACCAGGACAGCAGCCAAACTATCAGGCAGAGAGTACAACATCAGCAAAACTTTACTATCTTTAGACAGAGACACAGCCAGAAGTTCACCAGAGCCTGGAGTGACCAATCAATTACTAACCTTCAAATAACTTTGAATTTAAAAACATCCTAACTAATTTTCAATAGGATTTGCTGACGCCAACAGTGCAGCCTATAGCAATCACGTAGATAATGCACTTTCAGCTTGTAAAGTAAGTGTAGTTTTCACCTGCATATTGTAGGCTTAGGAGGGCATTTAGTGTCAAAAAACCACAGGCGCTGTGTGATCAAATTGCTAAGCCCATGTTTGATATTCCACAAGCTGAATTTGATGCTAAGTATCTAGAGATCAAGGTGGATATTTTCAAAGCATTTTTTATGGTCTGAATTTTTAAAATTGTGTTGATGGTCCAAACATTTTTCTATCTACCAGTACCACGTCTTACTGTGCTTTCATTTCTACCTAATAGGTTCACACATGTGGAAGTCAACATATTCTTCAGTTATGTTGTTGACATTCTTCAGTCTTTGCATCTTCGTGTGTTGGAGAAACAGCCAGGTTTTGCAAGCTTTCTGCCCACTCTGTCTTCTATCTTGAGGAGGAAAATTTGGGATATGGATCTTGAGGCTACATGGACAAGTGTGCTCCCAGAATTTGGTCTGAATGAATCTGATACAAAGGCTCTATGTGCATTCTTTGTGACCCACTGTAAAGACGCTGAGTATTACCCATTAAAGGAAAGAAAAAGGTACAGCCTAAATATCAAAGAAGTTTTAGACAGAGCTGTGCCCAGCCGCATTCTACATCACTGTCTGCTCCATCTTGTGCAGTTAGCAGAGAAAGAAAGTAGTATGATGACAACTGAGCAACACCAAGTCAATAAAGCAAGCACACGAAGGAGACCAAGACCCAAGTGAAGAGCAGGATATAGACAGAACGCAAACCTCCAGGTCTGGAGATTGACCTCATCCTTCCACAATGTAATATCCTTTGCTTTGAGTTAATAAAATCACGTCACTGACTTTTTGCAAAATAGGCACGCCAAGGTGGTATATTGATATTGGGCAGTAAAATTCCCCTTGCATCTCATATTGAATGTTGAATTGACAAACAGCCATTCAATGTTTGCACCTGTGACATAACAAAAATCAAACATCAAAATCACAACACTGCAGAATGAAGGATTTCCAAAAATTGGGGTATGAAGTTCAGAACTCTGTAATGATAGAAGATTTCAGTCAGGCAGTGGACAGGCCCTTTGGAAACTTCCAACCAACTCCTAAATGTCAATATAGGATATATTCCAATTGTGAGGAAGTGTTCTGTAACTGAAACGTTGTGTACTCTGTCAACTGACAATTGAGTCTTTCCAGTGTCTGCTTTAAATTTTTGCATTGTCAGCATTTTTTGTGATTAAAGTTCAGCCTGCTCAGAACATGCAAACATTTAAAACTATCCCAGGTGTGGTTTGTCTGATGTGGATTTCAATGTTGGTTACCTGTGATTAAACAGCTTGCTTTGTGCTTTTAATCAATAGTTTAATTTATATTACAATTGATACCTGTATCTAATTAAAGGTTAGAAAAAGGGGAAAGTTCCACAATGTAGAGACCTGACATCAGAGTCATACAGCATGAAACAGATCCTTTGGTTCAACTCTTCAGTGTTGAAGAGTTATATATCTTAATATGATCTAGTTCCATTTTCCAGCATTTGGCCCATACCCCTCTAAACCCTTTCTTTTCATATACACGTCCAGATGCCTTTTAAGTGTTGTAATTGTACCTGCCTCCAACACTTCCTCTGGCAGCTAGTTCTATACAGGCACCACCCTCTGCATGAAAAAGTTGCCCCTCAGGTCCTTTTTAAATCTTTCCCCTTTCACCTTAAACCTAATGTCCTCTAGTTTTGGACTCCCTGACCCTAGGAAAGTGACCTTGGCTATTTACCCTTTCCATGCCCAACAGATTCAAGAACAGCTTCTTCCCTGCTGTTATTAGACTTATGAATGGATCTCTCAAATTTTAAGCAATGACAATCTTGCATTTTGTGTACCTTCTCTGCAGCCAGACAACTGTATTCTTTTCTCTGTTCTATTACACTAATGCACTTTGTATAGTATGATCTACCTGTACTGCATGTTAAACAAAACTTTTCTCTGTACCTAGGTACATATGACAATAGTAAATAAAATTAAAACACAATTTTATAAACCTCTATAAGGTCACCCTCATTTCCAACACTCGTGAATAAAGCCCCGGCCTATTCAACTTCTCCCTGTAGCTCAAACTCTCCAGTTGCAGCAACATCCTTGCAAGTCTTTTTGTTCCCTCTCAAGTTTAACAACATCCTTCCTATAGCAGGGCAACACAGAACTGTACACAGTACTCTAAAAGTGGCCTCACCAATATTCTGTACGACCACAACATGACAACCTAACTCCTTTACTCAATGCACTCACCAATGAAGGCAAGCATGCCAAACGCCTTCTTCACCACCCTGTCTACCTGCAATTCCACTTTCAAGGAACTATGCACCTGCACCTGCTAAGCCTCTTTGTTCGGCAAAACTCCCCAGCACCCTACCATTAAGTGTATATATCCTGTCCTAGTTTGTCTTACCAAAATGCAACACCTCACTTTTATCTAAATTAAACTCCATCTGCCACTCCTCAGCCCACCTGAGACAGAATAAATTCTAGAGTTTTAATGCTTCATTTGAGTTCAATTTGGGATTCATTAGTCCATGGCATTGGCTCCTTAGTGTCATTTTAAGTTACTCTATAATACAAATCAAACAAAGTAACGAGTTGTTCTGACAGAAGATCATTGACTGATAATGTTAATCTGTTTCTTTCTCCAAATTGTTGCCTAGTCTGTCGAGTATTTCTAGCATTTTTTCTTCATTTCAGACTTCTAGCTTCAGCACTATTTTGTTTCAATAACATTAAATCCCCTGACAATGAAATCCTCTATTACTGCAATGTTTCACTCCCCCTTTTCTGACAACTGCTTACTTTGCATTAGTTTTACTGATGGATCACCTAAGTGTTGTTGCCTTAAGTACTGAATGCCAATTTAGCAAGCTGCCAGTTCAGCATTGCAGTGGGATCCTCCAGACTGTTTCTCTCTCCTCACCCTACTCCACTTGCTTACTAATCTGTTCTGCTTGTTGGGAAGTCATGTTGAGGTTGTACAGGACTGGAGTACTGTGTCCAGTTCTGCTTGCTTTGTTATAGGAAGGATATCATTAAGCTGGAGAGGGCTCAGAAGAGATTTACCAGGATGTTGCCAGGTATGGAAGGTTTGAGTTATTAGGAAAGGCAGGGAATTCTTTCACTAGAGCGTAGGAGGTTCAGAGATGACCTGATAGAAGTTTATAAAATAATGAGAGGTATAGACAGAGTTGATGGTAGTTGTTTTTTCCCTAAGATGGTGAATTTCAAGACTAGGGAAGCACATTTTTAAGGTGAGTGGACAGAGATTCAAAAAAGGCACAAGAGGTAAATTTTTTACACAGAGGGTGGTTTGCGTGTGGAATGAACTTCCTGATGAAGTGGTGGATGCAGGTATTACAACATTTAAAAGATATTTAGATGGATATGTGAGTAGGAAAGGTTTGGAGGGATATGGGCCAGGAGCAGGTAGGTGGGACTCGTTTAGTTTTGGACTATGTTTGGCATGGACTGGTTGGACCGAAGGGTCTGTTTCCGTGCTGTATGACTATGACTCTATAAAAGCAGAATGTTATTCAAATGGAGAGGGGCTGAAGAATGCTGCAGTACAGGGAGATCTGGGTGTCCTTGATAGTGGGGATCTTTCCCCTCATGGAGTTATTTAGAACTAAAAAGCACAGTTTCAAATTAAGGGGTCCTCCATTCAAGAACAGGAGAAATTTCTTCTCTTAGTGGATTGTTAATTTTAAGCATTCCACCCCATACGAGTAGAGAGTATGTTATTGAATATATTGAGGACTGGGTTAAATAATTTTTTGTCATATGGGTTAGTGCAGAGTTATGGAGGTGTAGGTTTATTCTTAGCTTCTGGATTTAGCCAATGACTTCCTCAGCCAGCCTATACTATACCACTAGACTAATCAACTTCTCTAGGCGCCTGCTGGCTCTGCGTACTTTTACAGCTTTTATACAGGTCCAGTCTCTCCAAATGTTTTGGCTTCCAATCTCAGTTTCAGTCTTAGGTCTCTGAGAAACTGGAAGTGGCACTTTCCTTTGTCGGTTTCATTTTCAATTTCACTTTTAAATTTGGGTCTACTTCAAAAAATACAAGCTTCAACAGCAGATTATATCACATAGCAACAAAATAAATGCTCAGCACATGACAATAGGTGCTGGTTAACAGGGTTGTAATAGTACATGCTATCTTTTGCATCAATATACTAGTTTCATGTCTAATCTAAAAGATTGCACCACTGACCTGTGCAGCACTCCCTCAGTGCAGTACTGGAATATCCATCCTGGACTCAAGCCAGCAACTTTCTGATTCAGACACAACAGTATTACCATTAATCCACTGCTGACACCAGTAAAGAGCCACATTGAAATGCTTTCAGAATGGTATATCAGAGAATTAGTACGCCTCTAAGAAGTATACTAAGATCAATGTTGCCTCTTCCCTGGCCAGTTCAACCACATGTAAATGGATTGGAATAACCAATTAGCATGATGCTTACTAGCAATCAGGTCAAACTACCAAAGATGTCCCACATGATGCATTTGGGAGCTATGACCCCAGAGACATACATTCATTTCTTGTGTTTTGACGTACAACTTTGCCTGCAACTTTAATTACCCAGCAGTCTAAGTTAGGGAGAGAAAGAGGTAAGAAGTTGTGGGCAGTCATGCAACAAAAGGCACCCAAGCCACTAAATTGAATTATTACAGTCAGTTGAACTCATCTGAAAGCTTCCTCATGAAGAACAAAATATTCAAGTGTTCATCCAGAATTTAGGACCAATATAACTCAGAAGTGACATAGTCCTTGTCTGAGAGGACAAGGGTAGCAGATGCACAGTATTACTTGCAGGTTCTCAACCAAGCTACACATTGGAAGTATAATCAACCAATCTTTGACTGTCACTGAGTCAATATCCTGGAACTTACTTCCAACTACATTGTAGCTGTACCTACACAGCATGGATTACAGCAGCTCACCACCATCTTCTTGGAGATAATTAGGGATGGGCAATAAATACTGGCATTACTAGTGACATTCACATTCTGCAAAATAACTTAAAAGTCTAGTGCTCGTGAAGGTGCTGACAGCAATGGTGGAAAGAATAAACTTTGCTACAATCCTTTCCTTTATTCATCTTACCTTGTTTGCCTAACAAGTCATGAATAGCTTGCTGTTAAACTCATTTATTTTTAAAATTCTTGTAATATCCTAAGATTTTTGAATGCAAATTCAATACACAATAAATTGCTCCTGTGAACATCATGCCAATTACTTCAATCAAGAAAATTACCAATTTTGCTTCAGTGCAAGGGTCTGTCTGCAGCCTCACATATGCCCTCATTACACTGTGCAGCAGAAATTAAACTGCCAGGCCAGTTTGTTTCAATGCACATTGTGCTAGCAACTCACTTGCCTGTCATACCTTCTTTGCAATCAACTCCTAAAACAGTATATCTGGCTTCTAGCTAAATCCTCCTACAAAACTGCAGAAAGGATGTTGGTTAGGCCACTTTTGGAATACTGCATTCAATTCTGGTCTCCCTACTATAGGAAGGATGTTGTGAAATTTGAAAGGGTTCAGAAAAGATTTACAAGGATGTTGCCAGGTTTGGAGGGTTTGAGCTATAGGGAGAGGCTGAATAGGCTGGGGCTAATTTTCATGGAGCGTCAGAGGCTGAGGGGTGACCTTATAGAGGTTTATAAAATCATTAGGGGCATGGAAATGGGGGAATAGACAAGGACTTTTCCACCAAGGGGTGAGGGAGTCCAAAACTAGAGGGCATAGGTTTAAGATGAGAGGGGAAAGATTTAAAAGGGACCTAAAAGGCAACTTTTTCATGCAGAAGATGGTGCATGTATGGGTATGGAATGAGCTGCTAGAGGTGGTGGTGGTGGGTACAATTACAACATTTAAAAGGCATCTGGATGGGTACGTGAATAGGAAGGATTTAGAGGGATATGGGCCAAATGCTAGCAAATGGAACTATATTTATTTAGGATATCTGCTTGGCATGGACAAGTTGGACCAAAGGGTCTGTTTCCATGCTGTACAGCTCTAAGGCTTTATTACTCACTGCCTGCTTACATACAAATGAAGTAGCTTAGACATTCACTCCCTCCACCACCAGAGCATAGTGTCTGCGGCATGAGCTGGCTGCAGAGTGCCCTGCAAGCAATCACTAGGGTTTCTTTGACAGCATGCTCCAAATGCGTGACCTTCCAATACACCG